ATAATAATTAATATTAATTATAAAAGAGAATTCGATTAAGCTGTGTAAATAAGAATCATAATGTTATAATAGCCATGTATGCACAAATTCAAAGTGTGTGAATGTGTGTATATGTATGTGTATGTGGGTGTGTATGTGAAAGTTTAGCAGAATAGGAATATCGAAATTAAATAATATTAATATTTAACATTAATACTATTATCTAGGGTTTTAGTGGCAGTCCTTTAATTTACGAAGACAAACTCGTCGGTGTGGCTACTTACGGTATTTCATGCAATAACAATCCGGTTCCGGATGTTCACGCCAGCATAGACGAACATAATCGCGAATATCTGCGTGAGATTCTAAAAGGGTAAAGGTTTTCCATCGTTTTTACACCGTTATTAATTTTTATTTTTAATACGGAGTTTTGAAAATGACTGATAATCGCGAACAATATTAAGAGAGAAATGATAGATTACAAGAAACAAAGCTGTACATTTGTATATGTACAATAATAATTTCTAATATTATATTAAAAATAATATTGATAAAAATTAATTTACACGATAAAATTTATATATATATATATAGTGCTGTTTACAGAACTCTCCGGCTAGCCATATCGCAACGTTCCACCTATTCTCTGAAGTTATGGATGGTGAACGTCTGAAATGCGTCGAGGGTGAGTGTGCGCTTCCGGTGTTACACTCGGGCAAAGGGTTGAGCGAGCAAGGAACAGTTATTGCTCGGAATTTACTGTCCACCCTTACACATAGCACGATTCCCTTTCTCGGATACGAGAAGGAACTGCGAGAGAACCGTGACGCGAAGGATACGTCTTCGAAACGATCAAAAGTTTTTCTAGCAAAATTCTCCACATTCTTATCATTTGAAGCGTGAACAAAATTCAATAATATTGAAGAGTAAGAAATATATATCGTCCCTGGAATATCGACGATCCCGAGATTAACGACGATCAACGAAAAAAGCAAAAATCTGTTTGTGCAATATTTTACATTATAAAGTCGAAATTTCAATGATCGCAATTAGCTCTGGATTCTGTAATACAAAAAAAAAAAGAAATTAATTTCGCTTAAGCGGATATCCTTTTCACGTCGCATTCTCGATTACGGCAATCTCGAAGGAACCTATTCACAAATACGCGGAATGTGGTTCCCATTACTCTGCGCACACGGTGTCAACATCGATGTAGCGTTAGTAAGATCCACCAGTAGGATGCGCAGCCACCATTTACTTGAAATGAGGGTTAGATACCTACCGGAAGTTTAGTTCACCGCCCACGTTTCTCCCGCGACGGTATTGCTCGCGAGAATATTTGCCCCGGCAGTGTTCGGCGCTTTCCGCGCTAATAAACCGTTCCTCTTGCTACCGTCGCTAATTACTCGACGAACGAGTCCCGAAGCCTTGCCCTCTTCCCTCCACGCCATATCCCATCCGTCGAAGTAACGTACATCGTTCCTCCAATCTCACACCCCTCTAAACACGAAACTACTTACTGCTTACTCCTTACTGCTTGTGCGAAAGCGTGTTCACGGAATTTCCGTACGATCGATGCCGTTTGTAACAGCAAGCACTTTATTATCGGCCGGACATGAATAATGACCTTTATTTTTAGGGGTCTATATACTCCCTGGAAAAACATGGAAAATCTGTGGGAATTTTTTTGTATTTGGAGAAATCAGAGAATTCTCATGGAATTTTATTGGGACTCAGGGAATTTTTAAAAAAATTCTCGTTTTAATAATTTTGCTCTTATACTATAAGCAATTTGCAATCCACCGATAAGTCAAGTTGTGAATTATATGTTTAAAATACATTATAAATATATATTTATATCTCTGTTTATATATATATATATATATATATATATTCAAAAATATATTTTATAAAAATAAAATTGTAAATTATATATCAAATACTGTCTATTTAAAATATGTACTCATAAGATTACAAGATCGACGATGTTACATAATTGCGTAACATGTGATCATGTTTTATTTTTGTTTATTTTATCTTTATTTTATTTTATCTTAATTTCGAATAAACAATCGTGCAAATTACGTTATGTAAATACTTGCAACATTAAATAAAGACTATCTCTGTGCTATCAAAATGTTTAATTTTTTTCTTTTAATATATAATAATTTATAAAAATTGTGAAATGCTGAATACTTGTCACATCTACATAATATTATAAAAATATATTCTCTTTCATTAGATTATATATTTCCCACTGTCTCTCAGAAATTTACAATTGCAGACTTAATAAACAACAAGCAGCAAACAGTGTTCGAAATGATATTGCTGATATAACAATTAGGAATTAAAATACTATAGTCTAGTTCTGGTGATAGATACAAGTTGGATAATGGTGAGTGTATTTGTGCTGCATGCTCACAGCTGTGTATGTGACTTGCTGGTATATAATTTGCTTGCAGAACTTTATCAGACCGTTGTGAAAAGAAAGTATTTCAGGGAAAGCAAAAACAAAAGTTGAAGTTTCGATATTTCCCTCAACGCTTCAACTGTAAAAACTTGTACGCCTTTTAGTTAATCAATAATTACTTTATACAGGGTCGGTTTTAAAGACTGCTAGGGTGATCGAGTAATAAAAAGAGAAACATGAAAAGTCTTTCTCAAAGGTTAAACTAATCATTAAATTCAATTTAATCCTCGTATATTGTGTCTATTATATATTTTTTATTATATATTTTTATACAACTGTTAATTATATTTTTTTAGAAATTTAATTCCTTAATACATACTTACATATACAATGTGCAACGTGAACACATGCTTCGAGTGAATCCTAAAACTTGCTACATAATTTTCCGATTTGTGAAATATATATTTGATATATAAGTAAATGCGGCCCTTTGCATCGATGCTGTCGATAGTTCGCAGCCGTTTCGTTCGCAGAGGGACGATTAATCATCCCGCGGCAATTCAACCCTTCTTGGGGTGAATAATTGAGCTATAAGCATCTTTTGTGCTTACAGACATTTGCATTGTTAATAGCTACCTGTATCCACCTGTAGAACGTCGTTAAGTCTCGGAACTTTCTGTACACGCCACAGTTCGCACTTCATTGTACAGATCGTCGAGAATACAATTGCACCGAGAAAAAAGAAGTTAGTCGCCTCGTGTACGCTGGTATGGATGTCTCGGCTCATTCGGGACACGCGGGTACTTTTTTCCGGAATAGTTTTCATACAGTAGCACACATTTCTCTTTTGCATGAACAGTGAATTTTCAAATAATATTCCTAAATAAAAGCTGAAAAATATAATGATTATGTGTGAAAGAATACGTTCTTACATAGATAAAATAAAAATTTGCACATTGCTTCCTCATCATTTTATCTTACAATGCTTAAGCTGCTTTAAGCATGCGTGTACAGACATTTCTCAAAAAATTCAAAATTTTATAAAAAATAAACCCTTTCATCGATACTCACCAAATTCAGTAGTAACTATCCTTTAATAATATTTTATCCATCTAAAAAAATTTAACCTGATATCTCAAAATAGATAATAAAATTAATATGTGTGCAATACACACGCTGCTTCTCTCTAGATAATAGATCATAAATTAATCTCAGTAAAATATATATATTAATAAATTTCGTTTAAATTTTATTTGAAATTTTTAATATATCGTGTTTATTTCTGGAAACAGACTACGAATGGTTCATTACGTTAAATCGGGTTTGCTTGAGACTATTGGGGATCTGGCCGGAAAAAGATAGACGAAAGAAATGGATGACGGATGCGCATGTGATTATTATATTAACCATAATTATCTGGAGCAGTGCCATTCCGACTTTTCATTCTCTCATCAGAATATGGGGCGATATCTCGTCCATGATTGATAACTTGCAGTATAGCTTGCCGCTTCTGATATCAGTAATAAAACTCGTTCTAATGTGGCAAAAAAAGGAAGGTAATTCTTTAACAAAAAAAAAAAAAAACTCAAATATTACATTTTAAATTAAAAAAGAAGAAATACACACAAAAGAATATTCTTTCAATTCTTCTTCTTTTTATTCTGTTAATTAAAATTTTAAGAAAAAAGAGAAGAATCTGTAAATATATATATTGATTACATGAATTTTATAAAAAATTTTATAAAAGATTAGTTTACTATAAAATTTATTATATACAATCTTAGACAAATGTTGGGGATGCAACATTTGCAACAAAAATTTTATTTGACGATTCTTTTCTTTCTGATTTACATATTTGGAGAGATCGCATTCAATTGCGGCAATTAAATGCGATCCTTTGATTCTTACAAAATATTAAAATCTTACAAGGCTAAAATATTAATTCTTCTCTTATTTTTAAGAAGAAGGAAAGAGAAGGCGACCTCCAAAACCCCTTCCTTCGTTCTTTCGTTCTTCTTGTACATAAAAAAAAAATTTCTTTTTTTTTCTTTTTGAAGGGGGGAAAGGTAATATACTTAGTATCCAAATTATTTAGGGATATACTTAATATTATACTTAGAGATGTACTTAGTAACATACTTATTATCTAAATTAGTTAAAGACATAAAAGAGAAAAAAAAGACATATATATATTGTTATTTTAACTTTTTTTTCGTTTTTTTTTTTTTTTTTTAGCATTAATTCTCATCATATTTTCAATATTCATTATTTTATAACATCATAATTCCAATTTATTTCCGATAGTTCTGATACCGTTTTTGGAAATGATTGAAAAGGACTGGACGAAATTAAAGACGGGTAAAGAACGAACGATTATGGTAAGACGTGCACAAACTGCACGCTTGATAATGATATGGGGATACTTCGTGATGTTCGTCTCGTTCATTCTGGTCGTAATCTTTCCCAGCTTCGGCGTGTCGTTGAGATACTTGACAAATATTACCGATCCGGATAGATTAATGCCTCTGCAGTCATACTACTTGTACAACGTAAATGACAGTCCGTTTTACGAGATAATCTTCGTTCTGCAAGGCTTCAGCTTGATGGTAGCCGCAACCATATACACCGGTACGGACACCTTTATGGGATTTCTTATCTTCCACGTATGCGGCCAGCTCGAGAACCTCAGAGCGCGTATCCTCGATCTGGAATTTAATTGCTTGAAGGACTCTCTATCGTCCAACATACGGGAACATATACGTCTTATCAGGTCTTGTACATATTGCAGAGAAAGGACGAAATGAATTAATTTACTGTAAAATTATAGAATCTTCTCCAACGCATCACATATCTTCCTTTTTGTTGTTTAATCTAAAAACTCGTGTCACATTAAAATAGATTCGTAAATTACTCACACAAGATTTCATGTTGGCGGAATTTAACAAATTTGATTGACACATTTGTAACTTCTAAAACAATTTTGAGCAGTCATAATTTAACTTATTAATTATATAAATTTTACATAAAACTACATTTATGAAAATTTTTCTGCCATTTTCATTATAATTACAAATTTACGTAGTTTTATCTATTTATATTTCCAAGAACAAATAAAGGATAAGTAAAAACCGAAATGTAATATTTATTGACGTTATTATGTTTATTAACTTTTTCTTACAGATCTATCAAAACCATTGACGATACGTTTACTTTAATGCTGCTTGGGCTGCTGGTTTATTTCGGCATACTCTTCGCTCTATACGGATTTTTATTTGTTACTGCAAGTATTTTTTCTGTAATATTTATGCATTTTTCTATCTGCAAGAAACTGATAAATTTACGATTAGAACTATATAAATGTTTTTTTTTTTTTTATTATTTAAGGAAATTGATTCATACTATATGTATATTAAATTTCTATTATAAATTTATCTTAAATAATAAAAAGTAGATATAATTTATTTTTTCAAAAAAATTATGAGAGATATATACAAAAAGAAAAATTTTCACGAAATTATTGCCATTTATTTTATTTCGGTAAATTAAACTTCTTCTTGAAAAGAAGTTTTTGCTTTTCAAACAGAAATACTTGTTAAATTTTTATTTTAACTTCGTCGATCTGATTAAATCAATTTTAGTCTTTTAAGAGACATTTATCCGAAAACTCTAATTACATATCTGAAAACTCCAATTACGTACTCATCTTTGCTAAATTATTTAGATAATGACACAAGGTCGCAATCTCTCCATCGCCCGATTAATTTTCATCATAACGTCATTTATCAATACGTTCACGCATATGTGTCTTTATTGCGTAGTAGGCGAATTTTTAGTTATCCAAGTAAGTATTTTCATTATTATTTTCTTTTTATACTCTTCACAGAGTATAAAATTATCTAATTTTGTGTGATATTTATTTAAATATTTGATAAACTTACCCTTATACTTAAACGTATTCTTTGATCGTTTTCACTGTTCATCAAGTGCAACGGGATTTACGAGGCTGTTTGTCAATACAAATGGTACAACGTGGAGCCGAGAGAGGCGAGGAATCTACTGATTATGATGATTCAGGCCAAGAGACCGCTGTACCTCACCGCAGGAAAGCTCTTTCCTATGACAATGGCTACATTTTGCAGTGTAAGATCAGCTCTAAACTCTAAACGTCATTATAATATTGTCATACAAAAATTCTCCCCATTAACATTCTGCATAAAAAATGTAATATTAAAGATATCTTGCAGATATTTAAAATTATAGATCACAACTAAACAAATAGCAAAATTTTTTCTATCATAAAATATAAAAAAATTTTCTATAATAAAATTTTAAAATTCTATACTCACAATGTAAAACATAAATAATATAACATACTAAGCATTCTATGATAATATATAAAATAAGTTGTGTGATAAAAATTACATATATCAAAATTGTATTTTGTTGCATGTATTACACACATCGATATCTATATTTTGGAGATTAATTATCTTAATAAATAATTAATAATGCGAATGGGGAGAGGAAATAAAACATAATAATTTGTAAGATTAAATTCGTAAAATATTTTTACATAAATATTATGCCTTATATTTATATAAATGTATTATATTTTAGTTATTAAAAACATCGGGCGGTTATATATCGGTCTTACTGGCCCATCGTACTTGAATTAAAAACATTCATCTAGAAATCCAATAAGACATCATTGTGTTATTATCGATACAAATAAAAATTATATAATCAGAGTAAATCAGAGTATACTTGTTATTATAACAATATGTGTACTTCATTATATATTATATTATAAATTAATTCTATGTTTAATCTTCTAAGGTGACAAAATTTTTTCATAACAAGAACCATATATGTATGGCAAAAATTAATATGGTTTACATTTTTAACTACAATCATAAAGTATATATATATTTATATTGTGTGTAGGGGTCTAAATAATGTTGTTTTTTCTACTGTTTATCATACCATGTTTCTTCAAATCAACCTCGTCTTTAACAATAGTCTCGTAAATTCAAAAACAATAGAAATATTTAAATGTATTATTTTTGACATCTCACTGTGTATAATTGTCACGTTGTTTAATTCTAATTTATGGTATATACCAGATATCAAAATTTCTTATACTTGCCCATATAAGAAATAATCGAAATATGATATTCACACTTAGATCTATGATAGTATAGTCATCTCCGATGAAAGACCCATGCACTGGTAATATTGCATGATATTCTAGTCATCTCTGGTGACACACGCACTGGTAATCGTGTATATTCACAGCTATGGTCGAGAAGTCTATAGTCTATAGTCGAACGTGCAATTTAGCCGAGACGTGATGAAAGAACAACTGTTTATAAAAGTTGGAGGAGGATCAGCTCGGAAAACTTTCACATCCCTTGTTGCGCCACGCAGTTTCAATGAATCATTAATAAGGGGCGCACAGCAGGATCGGTTTCACAAATTTCTAGCTAGAGATAAGCGAAAGTGCAAGGAGAAAGAGAGAGAGAGATGTCGTTCTTCAAAAGTTGTCATAAAAAAAAGTCATTTCACGCATACAAGAAATGTAAAACTGCGATAAAGCGCTACCAAACACTTATCGATATAATAAACTAAACTTTTAAATTTTCATTCTGATATATATATATTTAAATATATATAATTTTTTTAAATCAATATTTTACGATCTATATATAATAAGCAAAAACATAGTACACAATTTAGCGTGACTTTAAATATATTTTCCAGTAATAATTTTTTAACCCGCGCTTACAAATTTTATTTCTGCGTGCGGCCCTGTATCTATACTTTTCGTTCGCATTCGTGCTATTAATTTCCTCATAAACATTGCCCACCTTCTTGTTACGGATATTGTATTATTGATGTGCGACATGTACATCTGTAGAAGAGGGCACACATATTAAGTGTAGCGAATTTTGTCGCACGCAACGATCTACCGCCTCCCTAAACGAGGGTGAGAAAGCTCTCAGTCCCTTCGCAGACGCCGATATGGATACATTAAAGCACACGGAATACGCAGGTGTTCATTCTCCCTCGATTACTGGATTAGATTAAACCAATTCATCATCTCATACAGCAGATATATCCATACTTTGAGTTATTTTCCATAACGCGAGATTATTGTAAATGCAAGTTAAAATTAGGCGAAAACGTATCTTTGGAAGAATAATTAGCTATATATATCTTTCTAAAGTTTGCATAAAATGATGATGTTCTTTTATATACACACAATTAATAATAATAACAATATTTGATTTTAAATAATATATATATGCCATTTTTTTTATATTAGATGTAATGATTTATGATTACGTATATCTTTGGATATAACGAGATGTATATCTAATTTCTGACAATATAAATATGTAAAGTAGATATAAATATTTGTCACAGAAAAGAAAATTTTAACGGAGAAAAAGAAACATATATATAAAAAACCGTACATAAAAAAATGTTTGATGTGTTGAATAAGATGATCTGATTTTAATGAAATTCTTTTATCTCATTTCTTTTAAATATAAGTGCAGATTACGAATGGGCCATTAAATTAAATCGGACTTGCTTGAGAACGTTGGGCATTTGGCCAAAAAGTAATGAAACTAAATGGGAGAAATTAATGACAAACGTACGCGTAATCGTTATGCTGAATATAGGATTCTGGTTCTGTATCATTCCGAGTGTGTATTCTCTGCTCAGAATATGGGGCAATATAATGTCGATGATCGATAATCTGGAATACACCTTACCATCTATGATGGCAGCTATAAAATTTTTAATTATGTGGAGGAAAAAGAAAGGTATGAACGAGCGTATATCTTTATAGATTATGTACACCGAAAACACGATATCTACTTTATCTCAAGAATAAGCACGCAACTGTGACGCACGTATTCCTACATACTTACTGTTTCTAGATATTCTACCGCTTCTAAACATGATTAAGCACGATTGGTTAAAGCCAAAAATTGTGCAAGAGAGGAATATTATGATAAAACGAGCGCGACTCGCGTGCATGCTCACGATATCCGGATATTTTATAATGTTCATGGCCTCTCTTTTGTTTACTATTCTTCCTGTTTTCGGCATTTCAATGAGATATCTGTCAAATGAAACGGATCCGGGTAGATTGGTGCCGTTACAAACGTATTACTTTTATGATCGAGATAAAAGTCCGCTTTATGAAATAACATACACCCTACAAACTATCGGCATATTTATGTTTAGCGCTGCGTACACCGGTACAGATTGTTTTTTGAGTCTGCTGGTCTTCCACGTGTGCGGCCAGCTGGAGAATCTCAAGGCGCGCGTCATCGATCTCGATAAATTTAACAATTTCGCAAACTGTCTATCTTACAGCGTACAGGATCATATACGTCTCATCAGGTTATTCATTATGTTTAAGCATTGATAATATCAAAGAATTTCTTTACTCTTTTCCTATAATGTAGTTTTGTAAAATTTGTAGTATTGTAAATGCTTTAATATCACTAAATTTTTTTTGCCATACAAAATTAAAGAATATATGTATATAAAGTTAATTAACAAAAAATTGAAGCAACTAATAAATTGTTTTTTTT